TCTGTGGGAGGGAGTCTAAAGGATCTGCCTTTTTGGAATACGATTTGGGAATATCTATCTGTTTAAGTGCACATTTATCTGTTAAAATCTATCTGTTGGGGCCAGCCCGGTGGCGCAGCGGTTAAGTTCACATGTTCCGCTTCGGCGGCCCAGGGTTCACCAGTTCAGATCCCGGGTGTGGACATGGCACTGCTTGGCAAGCCATGCTGCGGCAGGCGTCCCACATAGAAAGTAGAGGAATTTGGGCATGGATGTTAGCTCAGGGCCAGTCTTCCTCAGCAAAAAGAGGAGGATTGGCAGCAGATGTTAGCTCAGGGCTAATCTTCCTCAAAAAAAAAATTAAATTGAAAAAAAAAGGAATGGAATTCTGATATGTGCTACCACAGGGATGATCCTTGAAAACATGCTAAGTGACAGAAGTCAGACACAAAAGGACAAATATTGTATGATTTCACTTGTACGAGGTATCAAGAATAAGCAATTCATAGGGACAGAAAGTAGAATAGTAGTTACCAGGGGGCCACGGGGAATTATTGTTTAATGGGTATGGAGTTTCAGTTTGGGAGGATAAAAAGTTCTAGAGACGGATAGAGGTGATGAATGCACTTAACGCCACTGAATTGTACACTTAAAAATGGTTAAAATGGGGGGCCAGGCCCGTGGCTGAGTGGTTAAGTTCGCGCACTCTGCTTCGGCGGCCCAGGGTTTCACTGTTCGGATCCTGGGTGTGAACATGGCACCGATCATTAGGCCATGTTGAGGCAGCATCCAACATGCCACAACTGGAAGGACCCACAACTAGAATATACAACTATGTACTGGGGGAAGTTGGGGAGAAAAAGCAAAAAAAAAAAAAAAGTATTTAAAAAAGAAAAGAAAAAAAAAATGGTTAAAATGGTAAATTTTATGTTATGTATATTTTCCCACAATGAGTAAAAGGAATGAAATACTGATACATGCTACATTGTGGTTGAACCTTGAAAACATTACGCTAAATGAAAGAAACCAGGCACAAAGGACCACATATTACATGATTCTATTTATACTAAATCTCCAGAGGAGGAAAATCCATAGAAATAGGGTATAGATTAGCATTTGCCAGGGGCTGCAGGGAGCAGGGAATAGGGGGTCACTGGCTAATTGGTATGAGATCTCTTTTGGGGGTGACGAAAATCTTCTAGAATTAGATGGTGGTGATGGTTGTACAGCTTTGTGACTATACTAAAAATCACTGAATTGCACACTTTCACGTGGCGAATGTTATGGTGTGTGAATCATACGGCAATAAAAACGAACGAAAGTGTAGAGGCGGGGTGGGGAGAGGGCTGCCTGGGTATTCCATAGAACGCTTACGCCGTAGTTCATTCAGTCACTCCCCAATTGATGGACATTGGGTTGTTTTTCAATTTTTTTTGCTACTTGAAACTATGCTACAATGTAACTCATTAAACATGCAAAAAAAAAATCATTTCAGGCAGGACAGGGGCCTGCCTGGGCATGTCCCAGTGTGAGACTGATTTAGGAAATGTCAGTACCAAACTCCGCCCCCTCCCCCTCCACCTACCCCCCTCCCCCGTAGAGATGGTGTATGTATGAAACTCTTACCCTTGAGTTGATTTGACCTTGAGATGACTATTGTTTTGCTTTCTTCTATCACTGAAGATCTATTAAAAATTATATTGGTCCTTTATCACCCTGAAGAAACAACCCAAAGTGAGGGGAGTTATGGTTTAGCTCAGGGGTCAGCCAACTAAGACCCACGGCCTGTTTTTTGTACCAACTAAGGACGGTTTTTACGGATGAATATTTGCGATTTGATGACAGGAAACACTAACTTTCAATTAAGCAAAATCTTATTTCTCCCTCCCCCCCAATTCCATTCTTCTCACTAGGAGACCTGTATTACATAAAGATTATATTCAATTATTATCATTATATTTTGAATTTCATCAATAAAAATTTGTGGGAATTTTTTCTCTCTCATTATATAAGTACCTATATAATATCCTTGATTTTGCCCCTTGGCCCACAAAGCCCTGAAACATTCATTATCTGGCCCTTTATAGAAAAAGTTTCCTGACCTCAGTTCTAGACTCCAGAGAGATATTGGAAATAAATATTGTAAAGCAAAGCACTGTGTGAAGACGGAATAGCCCCAAGCTACAATTATGTCTCAAAAATAACACAGCCTGGAAATGACAGAAATTTCAATCAAATTATCCAGGTCACGAAACGTACTTGATATTTTCCGCTGATTTAGTCCAGAGAAGTTAACGGAGGAGGAAAAAACCCTGTGCGTATCAGCTGTGCCAGGATAGGAAAGTGTTCATGTAGGTTTTGAACTGATGATGATGATAAAAATAATTATATAAAAATAAGGACATTGATTGAAAACCTATGTGTTCAATTCACGCACGGAATAAGCACTTTATATGAATGATCTCACTTAACCCTCACAAGAACCCCGTAAGGTTGAAGTCAGGGTCACCCCTGACATCGACTCCGGTCTGCCAGTAGTAGTACTTTGGTCAGAAAAATAAAGAAGTAGCTGGAGAGTAGACGGTGACGGGCCTTGAAGCCTGTCCTGGGAAAAAGCCTGTATTCTGTTTCTTTTTGCCATGTTATTCTGCAAACCAGGAGGCCCTGAAGGATTTCCAGATGGTCAGTTCTGTGTTTCAGGATGATAACAAGAGTGGCTTTGGGAGAGAACTGTTGAGGTCAAAAGGCCAGAGAGAGCTTTTTCAATAGCCCAAGGAAGAACGTGTGAGGGTCTGGGATGGTGAATGCAGAGAAGAGAATTCCAGACACACTTTCCTGCTGGAATGGACCATGGGTGACAGACTGGACATAAGAGCCGAGGGACAAGCAGTCAGAACTGACCTCAAAGTTTCTGGTGGCAAAATGAGAAAACCCAGATAAGAAACAAGTTTGCGGGAGGAGAATAACGAGTAGTGAAGATGCCGTATTTTAAATTATGCCGTATTTTAAATTCTTGAATTATATCCACGGCAAGTTGTCTAGGAGACAATTGGAAATGTATGTCTAGAAGTTCAGAAAGATGTCTGGTCTGGAGAGAGAGATTTGGGAACCATGAGGAGACGCCTGCCATTCAGAGGGGTTCGAGAAGGAGAGAGCAAGGGACAAGATGGAGAGAAGGGAGATGTTAAGGAAAACCAACATCCTAGAATGAGCGTGGACAAATCTTACACCACTGAATGGGAAGTGGGGAGTGTAGGACAGTAAGCAAGACCCAGCGGTACTATTGCCAGAAAAGAAGTCAGTGGAATGCTGCAGAGCCATCAAAGAACAGGACTCTAAATAGGCAGTTGGACTTGGCAATTTGAAGGTCACTGGTGGTGTCTGAAAAAGCAGGGAGTGACATGGCCTGAGGAGTGACTGGGAGGAGGCGGAAGGAAGAGAGGTGGAAAGTAAGGTTGGGGAGGCTGGGACACTGGAAGTTCTTTTAGAATAGAGAAAATCTGTAAATGTCTAGGGAAGAAGACGGAGACACTGAAGAAGCAGCACTTCACTCCCCTTCTTTTATTCGAGCAGATCTCTCCTCTCTGGCTGAGCAGGACGCATGTCACGGGCCCCGCACGCCCGCTCCCTACCCCCGCCCCGGCAAAAACTTGTCTGGAAAATGCTCTCACTGCTGTAGAAGGATGGTGCGGTTGTTAGATGTACAGGGCAGTGGGACTTTTCTCTAGGTGCCGGTCACAGAAGCTTCGCCCTTATTTTCTCCATCTTCAGTGAGGATCGAAACACCTCAGCATGTACTGAATTTTACAAGCCAACTCTTGTATTTTGAAAATGCAAGTTATTAGAGAAGTAACTAGGATGACACATTGCTGATTCTCAAAGATGCAGACCACACCTTCCTTATCCGGTAAAGTTCCCACAGCTGCTGGTCACACCCCTCCCTCCCATTTATATGTGTTGGATATTACAATATCCAGAGCCCCAAACTATGTAAAACAGGCTGAAAACTCTGATGATCAAATGTACTCCTCCGCATGTGAGGTCAGACACAGTCACAATTCTTTAGCTCTCTCAAGAACTGCTTGGGGAACTACTCGGTTATTATTATTAGGTTGTAATAGCAGCCACGACAGTGGTTTCAAGATGGAAGATTCTATGAAACGGTAATTACTAGGTGTTTTTTTGGCCATGTGTTCAGATAGTCTTCAGCAGTGGCTGGCTAAGTGTGATCTCCAAACAGCAGCATCAGCATTACCTGGGAACTTGTCAGAAAAGCAAATTCTGGAGCCTCACTCCAGACCCCCGGCCTCAGCAGCCCTGGGGGTGGGGTCCCGTCTTAATGAAGAACTCCACGTGAGGCCGCGATGCACCAAAGATGAGGGCCACGAATTTACAGGCAGCCTTTCTGCTCAGCGGTCCTCACCCCTGGCCATCGCCTGGGGGCTTTTCAGAAATGCAGAATCTCGGGCTGCGGCTCAGAGCCACCGAATTAGAACCCGCGCTTAGGCACGATCCCCGGGGCCTTCGAGTCTGAGAAGCCTCGGTGTGTCTATGGTGTCCAGTAAATTAAAAGACCTGACGGCCTAACTGGAGAAACCGTGACATCGCCTTAAAGCATCCAAGTCACGGAGCCCCCGGCGCCGCAAACTGCTTGATTATCTTCGCGGAGCGATGACAGGGCTCGGTGTCAGGCGGGGTAAAAATGCGGGACCGGGAGGGGGAGACTCAGGGCGAGCGCTCTGCGTTCGAGGTGGGTCCCCAGGAGCAGGTGTGACGGGAGGGGACCTGCAGGGGGGCGCTTTCCACGAGGGGAGGGAAATACAAGGGACCTGGAGGGGGCCGCAGGGCACCGCGCGGGGGCAGCCGGGGACCCGGGACGCCTAGCCGAGGGTCGCGGGGTGGGAGGAGGCAGGGCCGCCCTCCCCCGGGCGAGGCCGGCGGGCGGGGGTCGGGGGCGGGGAGGGAGGTGGGTCCAGGCCGGCGCGGGGGCGGGCGGCTCGCCGGCTCCCCGCCCCCGGCCCGCCCCTCGGCGGCGCCATTTTGCAGGCGGCTGTCGCGGGGACCGGAGGCGGCGGCAGCGGCGGCAGCGGCGGCGGCGGCTGGCACTGCGGCGCCGAGCGCTGCAGCGGCAGGACGGGAGCCCGGCGAGCGGCAGCCAGGTGAGAGCCGGGCCGCTGCGCTCCGCGCCCGGCCTGCGGGCCGCACCTGCCCGGCCCGGCCGCGAGGTGCCCGCCGCGCCCACGAGGCCGGCCTGGCACGGCCCCCGCGCGCTGTCACCGGCCCCGCGGCGCGGCCTGCGCCCCCCATCCCGGCCCGTTTCCCGGGTCCCCGCGCTCGCCGGCCGCTCGGGCCGCGGGGCCCGTGGATGCCCGGGGACCCCTGGGCGCTCCCCGCTGTCGGCCGCGGGAGCCGCAGCGCGCCGGGGCCCTCAGGCCGCGCCGCGGGGACGCAAGTGGGGTCCCCTCGGGACCGGGCTGGCCGCCGCTGCCTCCCGGGCCCTCGGCCCGCATGTCCTGGGGGCGCTCTCCCCTCGCCCTCCCCGGGCGTGAGCGCGGGCATCCCCGCGCCCCGGAATTCGGGGCCATCGAGCAGGGGGGTGCCTTTTACATTTTCTCTTTCTTCTCTCCTACAAAGGCTGCGCCAAGTAATTTTAGAAGCGGCGGCTCCCACCCCAGGGTCCTTCTGTCTGGCTTGTCCCCCGGGGGTCGTGGGTCCCCCTTGTTGCCACCTTGCTGGAAAGAGAAATTGACATTTTCGATTGTGACTACGTTAAGGGCGCAGGATTTCCTCCTTCCTTTGACTCTTGATGTCCCCTTGGATGGGTAGCTGACAGGAACTCGGCCTACAGGCTGAGGGTTTGAAGCATGACTGATGGGAAATTCTCGATTATCAGGGCAAAGGGTAAATGCGGGCAAATGCAGGTGGAAGAAAGTCACCCATGAGGGACTTCTGGGTCTGGGGCATTATTAGCAGTAGCTGCTGCTTTTATTCTTGCAGTGCTGGGAGGAGAGGCCGGGGAAGATGCTGTCTCTGCTGACATTTGGGTCATCCGTGTGCCGAGAAGCCTGGGGATGTGTGAGTTGGCAGACCGGGAGTCCTGAGACAGTGTGGTTGGAGCTGTCATTAATTGGCCATGTGACCTCCCTTGGTCACTTTCTTCCTTTAAAGCCAGAGACTAGGTGGCTGGAGCCTTTTTATTTTTATGTTTTTGCATTTGAATGCTGCTAGGCTGGACCTCACCATTTCCAGTTGTCTACACCTGACTTTTCACCTTTGCACTTGAGTTTGCCCTCCTGGCCCCTGAAGACATTTGATTCTGGTGAGATTTATAAAGGGCTTTGCAGCTCAAAAATTCTTAATTCTGTGCTGGGTGATGGTTGACTCTATCAGGATCACTGCTGAACCTATCACTCCTGGTCTCTCTTAACTCATCCAAGATTTCATAGTTTTTGGGCACTGGCCTTTTAAAAGGCCTGCAGTGGGTGTGCCCGGTGTAAGCCCTCATGGCACACTTGTTAGTTAAAAGGAGGCGAGTGGGTGTGTCCAGCCTGCTGCCTCTTTCACCTGAGAGCTTGAGCATGAGCTGTCTGCTTTCTAGACTCTTTCCTTTGCCAAAATGGCGCGTGCCTTCTTTCTTTGAATACCAGGGCGTTTGTTTTTTGGTTTCTTTGCTCAAAGTGCAGAGTGATTTTTTTTCTTTTAAGAAAATAAGTATTTCAAGAGCTTTTCATATTGACAGTTTTTTGTTGCGTGGCAGTTGTGTTTTCTGGCTGTGGCACCATTAATTAAGCTGAGTTTTAATGTCTGTTGGGATGTTTCAGAAGTGCTTATGGAAGTACCTGGCTAGAATGTCGGAGAGAGTTTTGCTAGGTTTCACGCTTTGCATAGCAAAGTGTAGTGGACTTAGCGTGGCAGAAATGAGGCGTCGTCCCAGGAGCAAGCTCAGGTAGCCTTCCATCCATGAGCCAATCTGCTAATCCAGTGCCAGGTGCTGTCGAACACATCATTGTTGAATAAAACCCAGTGTTTTGCCCTCCAGGAGCCTAAGGTCTGGTTTGCTGGATATCGAAAATCCTGATTAACTCTTAGTATCCTCTTCTGTGTCTCTGAAGGCAAACCTGGGATCAATTTGGGCACTCCTTTCTGGCACCAGTGGTAGCTTGAGGAATTTTCCCATTTTGGTTAAGAGAATTAAAAGTCAGCAGGCATAATTTGCAATTATATAGTGCTTTGTACTAGTAAATGAAAGCTTTTTTAAAACGTATTTAATCCTCTTAGGCTTTTTTAATTTAAACATTTTACAGTCCTTCCTTGACCCATTTGCCAGCGTCGCCTATAAAACTCCCAGCACACAAGTTGGTTCCCAACGCCCGGTAACCTCATTAATTCATTTTCCCTCCCTGCTGCTCTTCCAGTTATATTCTCCGAGGGCCGCTGTGTCTGGGCTTTCTTTTATTCTTTTGCTAGGGAACGTTCCTGCTCCAGGTTGAGCTGTGCGTTACTGCTGCGGGGTTTAAACGAGCCCTTTGTGGTGCTCTCTTCCTCCTCTCCCTGGCATGGCTATTTCTAGCCTGTGATTTGGTCGCAGGGTCTCGGATGTTGGCTCTCCAATTATTGAGGTCTGCTTGCAGCTTATGCTTTTCATAGGCCTTTCACACCTTTAATACATTTGTTGAGAGGCTACTGATGCCACGTGGAGATTCCCTGCCCACATGGAGCTCACACTCCAGTGGAGGGGAGGCAGACAATGAGACTTCACACTCTGAAGAAGAATCTGGTGGGATCGGGGGTATTAAGTGTTGGGGTGGGAGCTGACATTCTAGGAAGGGTGGGACCGGAGGGCCTGAGTCATCTTTGAGTGAAAATGTGAAGGAAGTGGATCATGTGGGTATCTGGGGGAAGAGCATTCCCGGTGGAGGAAACAGCAGCTGCAAAGGGCCTGAGGCAGCAGAGGGAGAGAATTTGGTTTTGAGGTCACGGAGACAATGAGAGTTGGATCATGTTAGGCCATGCGGCACCTAGGAAGGCCTGTAGATTTTACTTTGAGGGGAGTGGGAGCCGTTGGAGGATTTTGAGTAGAGGAGGGACATGGACTGACTTCGCTTTGAATGGGGACGTGCTGGCTGTTGCTGTGTGAGAACAGACTGAAGGCCCGGAGGACAGGATTGGGCTGCAGGGTAACCAGCTAGTGCAGGGCTGAGGACCCTGGGTCAGTCCGGGAGATGCAGGGGAGTGGTAAGCAGTGGTCTCATTGTGAAGTGGGGCTGAGGAGATTGCTGATGGACTAGATGTGGGAGGTGAGAAAGAGAGTTGAGGGCCGTACTGAGGTTTCTGGCCTGAGCACCGAGCATGAAATTGGCCGTGAACTGAGATGCCCAAGGAGCCGTATAGGTCATGTTAAGTTGCTATGATGCAGTGGCGAAGGAGGGAGTGGATGTTTTGGGGAAGATCCTTCTCTATGGAAATGTAAATCTTCTTGGGAACTTCTCATTGTCCTTTGCTTTATTTCTCTCCTCTGACCTCAGGTCTAGGTGGCCCCTAAGGCCCTCTCTGAATATTTACCCCATGAAGGAGAGGTCCGTCGACTCATTCATTCATTAACCATTTCTTGCACTACTTCATTTTGCGTGTTATGCGAGCCTAGAATCTAAAGAGAGCACGAAAAGCAAAAATCTGGATTTGTCAAAAATGCCCCTTGACAAGTCCCTAAGTCCCAGAAAGTGTGGCAGACATGATTTGCATATACCGAATGCCTAGGTATTCGGGTGTAATGAGTGAGGGAGCGCACAGCTTATAATTTCAGGGAGGATCTCGTTCAGGACCTAAGTCAAGCGTTCGCACTGCCCGGAACGTCTCGGCAACTGTAGATCGCAGCTCGAAGCCTCTTCCTGTTAGCCACTGTCTTGACTCAAATTCTTCCTTATTCATTGTTTCTCTGCAGCCTCAATGAGTCCTTCAGGTTTGTCCTTCAGCGAGAAGGTCAGGGTTGCCTTGGGCCTCTGCTTGCCCGGCTGCCCCAAGCCGTGGCTCTTTCTGGTCCATGGTGGGGAAAGCCTTCTTCATTCACAGGTTCTTTCCATACATTTCCCTCCCAAAGCAGGTGATCCTTCAGGCCTCCTTGTGTCAGCTGCCCTGGGGCATCTCAGTGAGTGCCCGGCTCATCCGGCTCAGTGGCCACCTCTCTCATTGACCTGTCTGTGATCTTACAGAGTTCAATCCCCTCATCTTTAAGTTGCATGAGAGAGCAGTTTGAAAGATGCTCTTCTCTCCAGGAGGGTCTCCAAACAGTAGAGGGGACCCAAGAAAGACTAGACAGTGAGCCCCATGTGTTAGCCAATGCAATAATGGTGGCACCCACGGGCATCAGTTTTGTGCTGGGCACTTCAGGTCATTGTTGTTAGTCCTAACAACTGGTGGGCAAGGTGGTTCTGGTCTGCATTTTATCGATGAAGGAACTGGAGCTTGGTTAACTTCTCTAAGTTAACTCTTGGGTCTTTTTTTTTTTTGAGGACGATTAGCCCTGAGCTAACATCTGCCGCCAATCCTCCTCTTTTTGCTGAGGACGACTGGCCCTGAGCTAACATCCATGCCCATCTTCCTCTACTTTCTATGCGGGACGCCTACCACAGCATGGTGTGCCTAAGCGGTGCCATGTCCGCACCTGGGATCCAAACCTGCGAACCCCGGGCCGCCGAAGTGGAACGTGCGAACTTAACTGCTGCGCCACAGGGCCAGCCCCCTGCGTTTCTAACAAGTTCTCAGGTGATGAGTATGCTGCTGGGGGAGGAACCACCAGCACCTGGTTTGTAAATCGTTTTATTGGAACACAGCCATGTCAGAGACTGAATGACCTGCAAGCCTGAAATCTTTGCTCTCTGGCCCTTTATAGAGAAAGTGTGCTTCCCCATAATATATATGTGATCAGTGCTGAGCATTTTCTGTTGAGTTCATATTTTATTCTCAAGAGCTCTTTTATATGTTAAGACAGTGCTTAACAAATTAGCCCACAAAAGTATGGTATGGGGGAATAGATGCCTATTTTGAAGTGTTAGGGAGTATAACTAACATGACACTTCTTTTAAGTCTTTTGTTTTTTCTAAAAGTAATCTGAATTTTTTATTCCAGAAGCATCAGTGTTTGGTTTAATATGAAACATTTT